ATGGGCAAATCCGGTTTTCCTGTTGAAACTTTGTTCAATTGTTATAAGTTCAGCATTATATGCTGTGATACTTATAGGAGGCAAAAAAATATTGCATTAAACCTGTTGTTTTCAATTGAATATTTCAAGTCAAATATTTAACTTGCACAAACTGGCTTCTTAAATTAAGTAGTTGTTATTTTGCATAAAATTATTCAAAAGATTGTTTTAGCTATTTATTTATATATCTTAAATCAAATTAGTTAGCTACTTTCGGGGGCAATTATACACTTTTATTAAAATGTAGTTTAGCTACCATTTATATAGAAAGTATAACACATGACTTTAATTTGAAATTTAAAACAAAAAAATAACACAAATAACATTATTAATCAAAATTTAAAATTTTTAAACATATGGCAACCCAATGATTACTTGGTTTTTGATTGAATTTTTATCGAAATGACTCATTTGAACGTGGAGTTGCCCATATACACTAATTATGTTTATGATGACAGAATTGTAACCTAGTAGATTGTCAACACTGAGCTGCTAACAGTTTATTTTATTGAAAAAAACAACTGTTTTTCATCTAAAGATCACCTTCCTGTATATTTTAAAAAACCTACAGGATAAAAACTCTCTTAATTATAAGCATCTTCACTCAAAAGAAAAATGTTTTTCTAATTATAACAATGAATACTTTTTTACTTTTACAAAATTAAATTAAAAATTAAAGAAAGTATTTATATACGATGGAAAAAAACAGGATTTGATTAAACAAGTAATTTATTATTAATTTATATATAATATATGTTATTTATTGAAATGAGTATACATATATAAAATTGTTTTGTTAATACTGAAGAATTGTGCTGAAGAAATCAGACAATGTTAAGTCATACTGAAGTCAGTTAATGTAATAGGCTTTAGTTTATTTTAAACTGTTTTTAATATAATATTAAGGAAAAAATAACAATTTAAAAATTGTAATAAAAAAAACCTGAGCATAACCACTTCCCCAATTATTTCCTGCTCCACCTCCATCTTTTGAAGTGTAAATATTCTCAGGGTTATACAAGTTAGCATATGGCGATTGCATAATAGAATCAATTACCTTATTTTAAAGAGATAAATATTAAATATTTTTGAAAATTTTCTGATTTTAAATCAAATTAGATGAATAAAACTTACTCTGGGTTCAAGATCAAGCAACACAGACCTTGGTATATAATGCTCATCATCTGCCTTAAAACAAAATTCTTATCTATAATATTCTATTAAGTGATATATTAAAGTAAAAAATACATAATTTATAATAAACATTTCATTTAAATAAATAAAACATTATTTGATAAGTAAAATTTAACAAAGAATTACTTGATAGAAAAAAACATCTTTGCGATCAGTACCATCAGTAGCAAAATCCTCTAACATTCCCTCTAAATTAAATATATTATTTAAGTATATAACAAAAAACATCTTATTAGTAAATTCTACTATTATATATTATTATTATTATTATTATTATTATTATTATTATTATTATTATTATTATTATTATTATTATTATTATCATTATTATTATTATTATTATTATTATTATTATTATACTATTCTACAACATTCTCTGCAAACATTCATACTAAAATCTACTGACATACTCTGCAAATTTAAACTATTTATTACACTGTTGCATTATGCTATAAATGTATTTTTAAAGATAACCTGGACTTATTCCATGTTCAGCACAAAGCTGCTTCCAAAACTCCATTCCAACTATTAAAAAAAAGAAAGTAGTATTAAATGATTTTATTAATTTCTTAAAACTTAAATAAAAATTTATTTTAATTTGTTTTGCTTTTAATTGTGCAATGGTATATAAAACTGATTTGGTCATCAATAGTTAGTTTTACTTTTATTTTCTGCAGCCATATTCACGTCTCTTCGTTAAATTAACGAATAGTTCAAGTGACCATTAAGAAAAAAATTGTTAACGGGCCGTTATGAAACAAATGGAGAAAAATAGTATTCTTGTCCTTCCGTTAAGTCACCGTTTATTAACCGCTCCGTTAACTTTGTCAGTTAAATTTCTTCCGTTAGCCCGCTTAGTTAGCTAACTTTCGTGCTGTTTTTTACATAGCATCCAAATATTACGATGCCAACTGGCACATAATATTGTTTAGATGGTACATCACAGCGTGATTTTTTTAAATGTTTGCTGCGTAATTTTTGAAACTTAAGTTAAAGTAATAAGCCGTTTTAGGACTTGTACTAAGGACTAATAACCGTTTTAGACTTGTACTAAGTACTAATTTTTTATATTTTTAAATTAAACTTTTTATATTTTTAGAGTTAAAAAATATATAAACACCATCAAAAAAATTGAATTGGAGCTACATAAAACTGTAGATATGGAGAGTTATATTTCAGAGGAGAAGTTAAAACTAAGGAAGAAGTTTTAAAGTTACAAGCTGAAAGAGATTATTTCATTTCTAAAAAAGAGTTAGTCGACTTGGAAAAAAGAAATGCATCTATAAAAGAAAAAGTGCTTTTATTAAAGGAAAGCTATTTAAAAAAAAAGGTTTCCTCACATTGGAGGAAACTTCTCCATGGTTTCCTCACATTGTGCTGCTGCAATTGCCAATTGCAGCAGCACAATGTGAGAAAAACCATGGAGAAGAGAGAGGCTTGACCTAGAATTGTCAAGATGGAATAAAGGATTCCATGCCAGTCTCGATAAAAATACTCATCTTGGGCAGATGTTAACTGCATCCAGCTACTGTCTTGTAGAAGGCCTCCTAGGCAAAGACTTTAGGGGTAAGCAGAAAAATTCTGCTAATCAGCCTCGAACCCCTTCTTCATCTATTAGGCTGGCGTAGATGTAACCTGTGTTACATTGTTTCCTGCCTAGGATGATGAATGCTGGACCTCCTTGACTCTACTCATAGAATTTTGCTTATGCCTCCTTGATAATGGCTATGCAACTCTTCCTATTATCTCCATATGAGGGTACAGCTCTAAAACTCAGTTTAATAGTTCTGAGGCCGGCTGGTAGTAAGGTTTTCCGAACGCTGTGGTAGCTCTCAGAGAGGCTGATTCCAACAACAGCTGCAAAATATCAGAGTATTAACAGTGCCATGTTGCGCATGGATGGTGTTCCTGTTAATGCTTTTGGTGCGCATTGTCAAGGCCACGTAAGGAGCCCTATGTCACAGCTTAGGGTTAATTAACAGGACTGAGACAACTGCATAGCTCATTGATTAGGAGGCTGTGCTCTATCTATGAATGAGTCAAGTTCTCATTAAACCCAAATCATGACCAAAGTAACCAAAAATTTTAAACCTAAAAAACCATCCCCACCACCTAAATATTTTAATATATCTTTTACAAATATTTGCGGTCTACAAAGCAACTTTCCATCAGTTGAGTCTTACCTCCTGCAAAATTCACCAGACTTGCTTGCACTCAGTGAAACAAATTTAAATTCTGCAATTCCTTCTTCAGATGTCAGTGTTGATGGGTACTATCCTTTGATTCGTAAAGACTCCAATAGTCACATGCTAGGTTTAGGGGTATGCATATTTACCTTCACTCCTTGACTTATGTCTTGTCTCTGACCTTAGCTTATGTTCAGTTTCTCCCTTTTATCCCTTAGGTGGTTCTGACCATGCAATGATCTCTATAAATCTTTCTTCTCGTACTTCTTTTTTGGGCTCACCTTATCATCGCACCACCTACTACTACCCTAAAGCTGACTGGGATTCCTTTCGTGATTTTCTTCATGATGGTCCTTGGGCTGATGTTTTTTCTCTCTCAGCTGACAAATGCGCCTCCTACATAACCTCCTGGATTTAGGCTGGAATGGAAGCTTTTATTCCTTCTCGTCGGTTTCAAGTCAAGCCTCATTCTACTCCATGGTTTTCTCCTTCTTGTGCAGCTGCTATATCTAATCGTAATCATTTTTTTCATCTTTTTCAAAAGAACAACTCTCTTGAGAACAAACGGCTATTTATTGTTGCAAGAAATCGATGTAAAAAGGTGCTTTCTGATGATAAACTCCATTATTCTCAGTTCACTAAATCTCGCATCTTATCACAGAAGTTAGGCTCTAAAGACTTTTGGAAAATCTTCAACAGCATTATTAACAAGGGTAGATCTAACATTCCATCTCTCATTCATGGGACTGATCTTATTACCTCTCCCAAGGATAAGGCTGAATTATTTGCAAAGAACTTTTCTTCTAAATCCACTCTTGAATCTTATGGACATTCTCTTCCTTCCATTCCAGTCAAACAGGCTGACCCATTGTTAGACATTCAAATCACTCCGGCTTCTGTTGCTAAAGTCATATCTCAATTAAACTCGTCTACAGCTTGTGGTCCAGACAACATTCCTGTCACAGTCTTGCAGAATTGTTCTCCAGAACTTTCTTCAATTCTCTCTAAACTATTTAACAAGTGTTTGACTGAGTTTTGTTTTCCTGCTTGTTGGAAAATGGCATCTGTGGTTCAAATATTCAAAAACTCTGGAGAAAATTCTGACCACTCCAATTAACGTCCGATCAGTCTTCTTTCTGTTATTAGCAAGGTCTTTGAGTCTTTGATCAACAAATTCCTCACATCTCATCTTGAGTTAAATAAACTACTGTCAGACAATCAATACGGTTTTCGATCCTCTCGCTCTACGGCCGACTTGCTAACTGCTGTAACTGAAGATTTTATCGTGCATTAGATGGAGGCGGTGAGGCAAGGGTTATTGCTCTCGACATATCTAAAGCTTTCGACAAAGTTTGGCATGCTAGTCTTCTCCATAAGCTTGCTTCATATGGTGTTTCTGGGAAAGTTTTTGAGATTATCAAATCATTTCTTTCTAACCGGTTTATTAAAGTCATCCTTGAAGGCCAACACTCTTCTTTATTTCCAGTAACTTCTGGGGTTCCCCAAGGTTCCATCATGGGCCCTGTTTTGTTTCTTATCTACATAAACGATCTTCCTGACAACCTTTCATCTAAAGTAGCTCTTTTTGCTGATGACTCAACTTTATACTCCTGTCTTGACAAAAAGTCTTCTCTTTTCGATCGCCTAGAACAAGCAGCTGATCTTGAATCCGATCTCACTTCAGTAACAGATTGGGGTTCACAGTGGCTTGTGAATTTCAACTCTAACAAAACCCAGTTGTTTACTGCAAACAACTACCGTAATATGGTCAACATTCCTATATTAATGAATGGCAATCCTCTTACTGAGTCCTCCTCTTTACGTCTTCTTGGATTATCGCTTACTACTGACCTTTCATGGAAACCATATATACAATCAATTGCTAAATTAGCTTCTGCTAAGGTTGCTTCTCTTTATCGTGCTCGCCATTTCCTTACTTCTGATTCCATTCTCTACCTCTACAAATCTCTTATTTGTCCCTGTATGGATTACTGTTGTCATATTTGGGCTGGTTCTTCTAACGATTCACTTTCTCTTCTTGATAAGGTCCAAAAACGCATTGTAAATGTTGTTGGACCTGGACTATCTGCTAAGCTTGAGCCTCTTTCCCATCGTTGTAAAGTTGCATCTCTTTCTCTTTTCTACAAATACTATCATGGTCACTGCTCAAAGGAGTTATCATCTCTAGTTCCATCAACTAGAATTCATTCTCCTTTTACTCGTCATTCGGCTAAGTCTCATTCGTTTACTGTATCTGTCCCTGCATGCTCTAAAAACTTTTATTCATCTAGTTTTTTTCCTCGCACTTCAATCCTTTGGAACTCTCTCCCATCTTCATGTTTTCCTGACTCATACAACCTTCAACTTTTCAAGTCTTCTGTCAACCGTTTCCTTGCTCTATAACTCTGTTCTTTTTTTTCTTTCCTGCAACTCCCAATATAATAGTGGTTGCTTGCGGCCTTGTTGGGAGTGAATGCAAATAAAAAGTAAAAAATAAAATAAAAAAAATAACTTCATGTTCCAACATCTGCTTACATGGTTTCACATCACTTTCCAAAACTTCAATGTTTTATTTTGATGTTTAACTCCTATCAACCTAAATCACTTATAATTTAGGTATAAAATGTTATAGATAAATAAATAAATAAACATATATATATATATATATATATATATATATATATATATATATATATATATATATATATATATATATACATATATTAAATGTATATATACATATATATATATATATATATATATATATATATATATATATTTATATTTATATACATATATTAAATGTATATATATATATATATATATATATATATATATATATATATATATATATATATATATATAACTAGACACCAGGGCTGTGGAGTCGGAGTTGCAGAATTGCGACATTTTAAGTGGAGTTTGAGTCGCTCAACAAAACTGCGACTCTGACCCTAATTGTAAAACTTCTCTGCATTGCACGTGCATGTACAAAACATTCAATTAACCTTATGTTCATACTAAACCTCAAAGAACATTTCATAAAATTGTAAAAAAAAACAACAATTTTTAACTTATCGCGTAATTTTAGTTGGAGTTGTACTTAAAAAATTTCAATAACTGGATTTGGAGTCTTTACTTTTTTTTTACAACTCCACACTCCTGCTAGACATTATACATCTATACATTATATATATATATATATATATATATATATATATATATATATATATATATATATATATATATATATATATAAATATATACAAACTATGATAGTGTATTATATCTATATATTTATACGCTTAATTATCTATTTTAAGGCTTTATTTAAAGTAAATTTTTTATTTTTTAACTGTAAAACATGTGTAGAGCGTTGCTACATCGACTATCTTATAGCCTGACTCGTAACGGAATGTTGCTACATCGACTATCTTATAGCCTGACTCGCAACGAAGTGCTGCTAAATCGACAGAGGGTTTGGTTCGGGCGGGCAGTCTATCAAATAATTTAAAAAAAAAATTATTATATTGTATTTTTTTAAGTTTCACTTAACTTCCTTTTATTTATTTTTAATTAATTTTTTCGCTTAAAAGTCCTTAAAATATACCGTTAAATGAATTATTTAACGGAAGTAAAACATTACATCATTAACAACCAATAGGACAATGGTTCGCAAAAAAGTTCGCATTTTACCGGTTCGCAGTTCGCATTTTACCTAGTACCATTTATATTATATATATATATACATATACATTTATATATATGTATGTATATATATATGCATATACATACATACAATATATATATATATATATACATATATATATATATATATATATATATATATATATATATATATATATATATATATATATATATATATATACATATTGCATTTTATAGTACGTGCATTAAAAACAATATAAATAAAATAAAGCGATTTCAGTATTTCACGTGATAATACAGTAATGTTGTATACATGTTGTCAACATGTATTTTAAAGTATGTCTAATTAAAATACATTAGCGATTTAATAATTTAAGATTTAATTATATAAATATTATATAGTAGGGATGTACCGAAGCTGCAATTTTGCCGAAGCTGCAATTTTGCCGAAGTTGAAGCTTCGGCCGAAGCCACTTTGCTGAAGCCGAAGCTTCGGCTTAAGCTATACGTAATTTAAAGCTCAATTTACTTCACCACGGTGGTTTGAATAATCAAGTTGCTTTCAAAATTATATATCAATGTTTTAGGTTTCAATGTTTTGGCCTACATGCCCATTTTAGGAAAATTATAAAACAAAATCAATATTATAAAAAATTTAAACAAATTTTGTACAAAAATTTAGAGAGTGAAATTTAGAGTCTTAACTCTATATATCTAGCAGGTATAGGAAAGATTACATCACTAAATCTTAGACATTTACTGATACTTAAGGTAAATTATGGTCTATTCTTTGAAAGAATTTATAAAAATGTAAACACGTAAAATGTAAAAATATAAAAGTAGTCATTATTTTAATTTGAACACAAAATTTGGTATTTGTTTTAAATTTTGTTAAAAAGTTGAATCAGTTGAACTAAGAAGCTACAGTCTATTATTTAGTTAATAAAAATTTATTCAATGAAAGCAGGCATATTACAATTTAAAAATGCAATCTGTTCTCCATGTTCGGGTAATAGTCTGTTTCTTTTTGCTTCAAATATGTTTCCAGATGTGCTAAATAAGCGTTCACTTTTTACAGATGAAGGAGGCGCGCACAAAACTTTCTTTGAAAACTTTGACAAATTCAACTTGTAAGTATTTTTATCAGAGGAAGTGTAACGGTATGCACTCCACCACTTATAAGGGCATTCATTCTTTGGCAGTATTGGAAGGCTCAAGTAGAAGTTGACTTCATCGGTGCTGATACATAAATATAGGTGATAATTTTAGGTATGAATTTTTAAAATATTACAATTTAATCAACTAAACAAAATAAAAGAATGCTGTTATCCGTCTTTTGAAATAAAAAAAATGGAGAATGAGAATAGAGATAAAAAAAATATTTAATATTTAATGTATAAACAATATAAAAATCATAAATAGATTCTGTTTTCTTACCATTTTTCTTTGACAGTTAGAGTTTTTCCCATTGAACTAGTGTTTTTTTATCTTTTTTCTCTGTCCGTCAGAATTTTCTGAATTTTGTAGAGCATACTCATTTGCACCGATTTGGTGGAACAAGCTATATATGTCCATGCTCATTAGTTTTTTTTTTTTAATCGAGAGCCATGGCCATCAAAATCTGAGTCGGACTCATGAATTTTAGATTCTGAAAATGAACTTAATGATTCTTCTGAGTCTGATCCACTACCTCTTGCTACACCAAATTCAATTTCTTTTACTTGTTCTAAATGAGATTTGGAACAAAAACGGTAGAACTCTAAATGGAGTATTTCTTTAAACATATTATGATTCTTGTCTTCAACAAACTTTAACTTGAAACGAGGATCAAGCATCATCGCGATTTACAAGCATCATCTGATATACATGCCGTTTCTTTACTCATGTCTTTTGTAGTACTTTCGAAGTGTTTTAATATGCATACAAGCATTTCAGCAAGTTGCCATTGATTTTCCGTAGGATTTTTTGCATTTGCTTGATTTCTGGTAATGCAATACAATGTAATAGCTTTTTTCTGCTCAATGAACCTTTCAAGCATATAGTATGTCGAATTCCATCTTGTGGAAACATCTTGAATTATGTTATGCTCTGGCAATTTTAGTTGACTTTGAATTTACTTTAGTTTAGCCACAGCACTAGATGAGTGGTGGAAATGTCCTGCTAATGCTCGAAAAACAGCTATTGTATCACTTGCTGTTCTTTGTTCTCTAAAAATCTTTTTCTGAATACAAAGTTGTAAAGTATGTATCAGACATGGAAGATGTTTATCGCCTAAATTTGACTCTTTAATGGCAGCCATGACATTGGCTGCATTATCAGTTAAAACTGCATGAATTTTTTCATGGGGAATTTCCCATGATTGTAGCGCTTCATTTATGAATTTACTTATATTGTGCCCTGTGTGCGACTCAGGGAAGTGTGTAACTTGTAAGATGACATGTTTAACTGTAAACTCATGCGTTACAAATCTAGCTGTTAAACTGTAATACGATTGAATTGTGTGCTGACAGGTCCAACCATCACTAGTTAAACTTAAGAAATCTGCTTGATCAAGCTCATATTTTACTTTGGCTTTTATGGTTTCATACATCAGTGGAATGACTTTTGTGGAGAAATACTTTCGACTAGGTATTGTATAGTTTGGAGCTAAATTCTTTAAAAGTCGGGTAAAACCTTTATCTTCAACAATACAGTATGGCTGCAAGTCTAAACATATCATTTCTCCAATAAGCTTGGTAATAGCTTGAGCCTTAGGATTATCAAGTCGCCACAATTCTTTTCTTTGCAAAATCTCCCGCAGTGAGACCTGAAACAAATTCAACGAATTAAAAAAATTACTTAGCAACTTGTAACTAACAATGGCCAGCGACGGATCTAAGTGGCGGATAGAGGTATGTATCTTTCCCCCCTCACCAGTACATTTATTATAATATTATAAGCTTAGATAAGTTAAGTTAACATTTTTCTATACAAAAGATAATTTTTCGACAAGACATGCCCCCATCCAGTCACAAAATCATGAATACTGAATAGTAAATGAATTCAGCTACAGTTAGCTGAGTTACCTGTGTCGATGCTTTTTGAAAAAAGGCAATTGTGTTATTAGACACACGCGAGCTTCCCTGCGTTTCATCTGTGGCAGTGCTGGTAATGATTTACACTGATTCAGCAGAGCTTGTTCTATCTGAGCATATTGTTCGAGTAGTGCAAAATTGTTTTATAGACTTTTCATTTGGATTTGGTAAAGATTCGTGGTTAATAATTTTCTTCTGAGAAAGAATCATGCTATGTATATTATAATGTACTTTTTTCAGATGGTTTTGTAAATTTGTTGTTGACATGTTGTGTGCGTCTTTACTTCCTCTAGACAAAATCTTCTTGCGAAGTATGCAGATGGCTTTGCCAACATCTTCATCACTCACTTTAAAATAATTCCATAAGGGATTTTTACTTCGCGATGAGGTAGCCATAATGCGCTAATGGATAACTTAAAGTTATAATAACAATTCTGAAAATTGAAATAGAAAGTTTAATTATTTTCTTACCTTTAATAATATTTATTGAAATAAACAATATTCGTTCAATTTTTTGATTCAAATATTATTTGAATTAAAAAAAACCGAAGTCGTAAATAACCAACTAACCTATATTTGTAGAGCAGGTATATTTACTTTTACTAATGATCCAGCGTACAAAATCAAAAACAAACGCAATTGACTTACATTTCAATTGTGCTTTTCTGTGTAGTGTCTTTTCTGTGTAGTGTCTTTCTGTGTAGTGTCTTTCTGTGTTCTGTCTGTGACTTAGTAAAACAAACTTTCTGAATAAAAATTGTTTCGTGCATTAAAATTAACTTATTGTAAAGATTTTTAAAAATTTCGAGAATAGTTAACTCTCTTAACTCTCGTGCGCTATGTTTTAGTTACATCTAAGTAATTTTAAATGAAGATTTATTTCCAGGTTTAATTTTTAATTTTAATTTAATATTAAAAAATATATAATTTAACATAACTCGGATTTTAGAAGTTGATGCTAACTAATAACTAAATGCTAAAAAAATTAAATTTTAATAATTTTTCATTATTTTACTACCAACTAATGCATAAACAAATTTTATTGCTAAGCTCGAGTGATCATAACTAAATATTAGGGTTATGGTATTTAATTATAAAAAGTTTACTATAATGTTACAGTTTAAATCAGCTTATATTGAGTGATTATAAAAAAATCAATGTGTTTCATTAAGTAACTTTACTTTCTATCCGCTATCGTGCCGTTTTTGGCCGCCCTACACGCGGCCTTGCCACCTCAAAAAGCCGTTGCTGGATTCATTTAATCTTCGCAACTGTATAAATCAGAGGCTTATTTAAATTTCTTAGAAGAAGAAAAGAAAAAGAAGAATTTTGAACGTTCAACTACGTTTTATTCGGAAAACAGACAACGTGTGAACGTTTAAAAAATGTCTTCCTCAGTCGAATGCCAGCTTAGTAATGTCCATTTTTTTGTCGAAGCCAATGATTCGGCAAAAAACGCCCATGGCTTCGGCCGAACCGAAGCTTCGGCAAAATTGCTGAAGCTTCGGCAAACCGAAGCCGAAGCCGAAGCTTCGGTACATCCCTATTATATAGTACATAATATAACTTATTTAGCCTAAAACTAAACTTGTTTAAACAAATAATAAACAGTTTATTCAGCTGTTATTGATGAGAAAAATTCAACATATTATTTTGTTCAGATATCATTTTTAATATTTTAGAAAATTTTTCCGTTTTCGGTTTTAACTGTAGGGTATAGCAGAGTTAAATTTTACCGTTAACTATCTTCCGTTAACTTTATTTTAACTGAACAGAGGACACGAGAATACAAATTTTTTTTAACGCTGGTGTTAAAAACTGCCGTTAAATTTTAACCCAGCCGTTAGCTTAACGCAGGGTTTAACGGAAAGACGTGAATACGGCTACTGGTCACTATTTTTCAGTTTTAGAAACATTTTTATCTAGAAACATCTTTAAAAATGTTTAAAAAAAAAAAAAATAAAAAAAAAAAATAATGATCTTAAGAAAATAAAAACATTTAAAAAATATAGTAATTATCTCAATAAATATTCTTAATACTTCATAAATATACTTAATACTTCAAGAAAAGTTTCTAAAATAACAAAACTAATAATTTAAAACTTAACCAATGATATTATTTAAATAATTATCATACTAAACAAAGAAAATAAATCAAAACAAAAATGAGATTCAGTTGAAAAAAAATAATAATAATAAAAAGCCCAATTTGAAAAAAATATTAAAAGCATAAAAAATTGAGAATATGATAATTAAGATATAAATCAATGTTCAAATATTACACAGAAAATTCAAAACATAAAAAGTAAGCAAACTAAAAAAATAATAAAAGCAATGAAAGATCATGACAAAATGTTGTTGTCTTTTTAGGTAAATTGGTATGCATTTCTTTTAAAGTAACAATATATTTTGTGTGAAGGAGGGGAAGGGGTTGGGTTTGGCAGAGGATTGTTATGGTGATATAGTCATACAAATTTTATAACAAATGAACTCATGATATTTACGTAAAAGTATACTTTTTTGAAAAAGAGCCTAATGCGGTGAACTGATTTTTTTCACTTACCTTAAACTGCGACATAATTAGTTTAAACTGATTTATAAGACTATAGTTTTGCTAATCACATTGCTATTTTCCTGTGGTTAATGTTTATATTTTTGAAACAAATGCTTAAAAAAAAATAAAGTTTTGAATATGTCAGAACTTAATTTTAATCTCGTGAAATGCTATTGCATTTCACGAAATAAAATAATTAAAAACTTTGAAACTAATAAATAAAAAATTGTAAAAGAAAAATTTGATTAAAAAAATATAATAATACAAAAGGTTATCCAATACTACTGGTATTTACTGGTACTGGAGAACTTTAAGTAAACTCCAAAATGATTACACAATTTGTTTAGTTTTTGCAGAACATTTTATTTTCCATAAATCCAAACTATACAAACTAATGTCTTTAATGTCTTTAAATAACGATTACTTAATTGTGTACCAGCTTCTTTTTTTTATACACAATATAAGTAACATTTTTCATACATAAAAACATAACATTTATTAAGATCCTGGTTTACACAATTATTGATGTGTGGACTATTATAAATAGTGCTAATTGAAATGACAAAAATGAGACTTGTTAAAGATCAGTAATTCTAAAGTGTTGTTCAATGCAAAAACACGACAATCTTTCACAAAAAACTTTTGAAACTAACTTGGGTATATTAATATTGTGTATAAAGCAATATTTTACATTCAGAACAACGCCAAATCATTGAAATAAAAAATTAAAATAAAAAAAATACAAATATTAATATAATCTATATTGTTAAATAAAATACATAAAACTTAATGTATTAACTAAGAAGTAAAACTGTTTACATAAATGTTTTTTCTATAAATATTTTTTTTAATAGTTATAGATTGCACTTTTTTAAATGGGGAAACAGAACTGACACTGTAAAACATAATTTAAAATTTTAAATGGAGAAACAGAACACTGTAAAACATAATTAAAAAATTTTAAATGGGGAAACAAAACACTGTAAAATATAATTTAAAATTTTTTGAACTTCTAATTGTTTAAATGATTGAAAAATTATTGCGAGTGGCGAAGGTATTAATTTAACAGTAAAAAGACAAATGGTAAAAAAAAAAAGGTTTTTTTATTGCTTTTTTTTTTTTAGTATTTCTGAAATCATAAAAAAAAAGAATGCTGTCAAAGTTTTGTTTTCTCTTTTTTAAAAAATTTAAAAAATAATTCATGGAGTGAAACAAGAAATATCTAGACTTTTATAGCATTTTCGGAAATTGTTAATCTAATCCTGTATAATCTAATACTGTATACAACTTGAAGAACTTCCACTTTCAAAGTGATAAGACATATTTCTAAACATTTTTGTACAAGAATTTATTACAAGTAAAATCATTTTTAATAAAATTGAAGCAAATCATGGTAAATGACAACTGAGTACAACACATATAAAGCTGAGCATAATAAAACAATTGAAACATTAAATAAAACAATTGATGAGCTAAAAAATTGCAATTTGAATTTGTTAGAAAGAATGAAAGCTTTAGAAAATATCAAGTTTAATATCCCTGGTAGTACGTGCTCAACTTGTTTCTCAACACAGTGGCCTTGTTTGTCAAGGTTTGTATTTCGAAGTTATAGAATTGAGAGAGGGTTACAACTATAATTAGTAAATAACCCTGTTTTAATTGAGGCTGAAAGATATAATGCTAAATTACAAGGCTCAAATTAAGTGATCGCAAATTAAAATATCTGGAAATGTGTTAAGTCTTTAAATTTTTAGCTTTTTAAAAAACGTAAACTCTGTTTTTATCACTAAACTCAATAGCAGTTAATCAATAAAAAATATTTATATTAACTATGATATAAAATCTCATTATAAAACCCTATTATTACTATTATTTTTATTATTATTTTTATTATTATTAAAAAACTATGATTTAAACTTTAATATTTTAATTTTTTTTATAAGTCATTAAATAAAACATACGGTACAATGTAATATAAAAAAAAACTGCAACTCCCAACAGTTTAAAGGAATTTAGCAGTGATCAAATATTTTAAATAAAAGAAATCATGAATTAAAATATAAAATATTTTTATATCTTATTTGAATCTTATTCAATATTTTCTTATAAATTATATGCTCGCAACTCTTTAGCATATATGTATATAAAAATAATGACAGAGGAAAAAATACTTAAAAACTAATTTAAACTTTTTATAGTTATTTTAAAACAAAAAAACTCTAATAAATTATTATAAAATATATATTTTTTATTATCAATTAATTAATTTCTAATTTAAAACATT